CTGAGAGGATAAAAACTTCTGTACAAGCTGCTTGGAAAATGAAAAAGACCTGTGCAATGCATCCTTCCCAGGAAATGGTTTTCTGCTTTGTTGCAAAGTTTGCCAGCATCTTGGGGACAGTGACTGAGGAATAGCAGATGTCAACAAAAGCTAAATGGCTGAGAAGGAAGAACATGGGGGTTTGAAGGTGGACATCAGACTTGATCACCAATATAATGGTTATGTTTCCCAGAATGGTGACTAAAAAAATGATCATAAACAAAAGAAGAAGAAAATCCTGTATGTGTGGATCATTGGAGAGTCCCAACAGGATAAACTCTGTTACTGCAGTTTGATTTTCCAGTTCAGAAAATTCAGGAAACATAGGATCTGTCACAAAATTAAACATGGTTAATGATAGAGTATACAAAGATAAAAATAGACTTCAATTAAACACACATATAAATTTTAGGATCACATTTAACTCTAGATCAATATTGAGCTTTGTATTATAATGAATAATACTGTGTTTTCTTTTTTCATAGGTTTCACCAAATGGAAAATTTAAGTGTTGCCTGTTTCATTTTAACAATGTGTTTTGTTGAGCGTTCTGATATTTCAATGCATTGATTATAGTAACTGGTATTTGCTGTGAATACCATTTACATTCCCCTCTGTGGAATCAAAATGCAGGACATAAAGGGAAAATAATCAAGGCTTCACTGCAGTATTTATTAGGCAGTACATACTGGAGGGGGACCCCACTAAAAGTTAGTGGGAAACACTCCCCAGTAGGCAAAATGGATACCCTGATACTTACACAGCTCTACAAGAAAGAGAAGGGAAAAGAACACATACATATACATATTCATATGATGATGTAGGCATACCTAAATGAGCAATACTTCTCAAGTTACTTTCTGTCCCTGTTCTTGGCTGCTATCTACAAGGATGGAACAACTGCTATGTATAAGGAAAGCAGTAGTGTCAGAGGGGAAGAAGCAAATTGTTCAAGGTGCCAACTGCCAGGAAGAAGCCATCCTCCCTTACCTTGGTATGGGGGAAGTTTGTGATCAGGGGTTTACAATCAGCCTAATCCATACCTGTTTCAAGGGTGCTGCACATTCCTTTCAATTTTATTAAGGCAATCCCATTCCTCTGAGGCCTCTAAAAACGTGCTTCTTTCACCCAAAGATTCACCCAAAGATACATTTTTCTCACACCTCTATGCATTTGTGAAGTGAGTTAAAGTCATACATCATGTCAGGAGAAACTGTTCCTAAAGAAAATGTTGATAAATGTTATCTCAGACATCTGTCTCTTCAGAAAGTCAAAATGGAGAGATTCCAGGAAGTTGAAACGCATGGTATTAAATAGTTGTGGAATCCAATCTGTTTAGTTTGGCCACACTTGTCCTCTTCTATACAGAAATCTACTGATTTGCTCTTTCTGTATTTCAAATGCATTTTCCCCATCTTTATTGTCCACCTCTGCCCTCCCCAAAAACTGTCATGCAGGTCATGCTGGATGTGATTATATACACACATCCATTTCCCCCCTCCCCCTTTAGCAGTAACATTAATGTGATTTGTTACTTTCTTCTTCCAGAATGCTTTGTTCTTTTTCTTCCAACTTTCAAGCTATTGGGTTTTTTAAGTTGTTTTTGTTTTGTCCACCTCCTAAGTGCTAGTTAGATGTGATATGTGATATTAATTAGATGTGATGTGTGGTGTTGATTGTTTTTTGCAAGTAGCCAAGTAAGTCTAGATAGTGGCATCTAGATAGTGTGACAAATTGGAGAAAGAAAATTTGGCATATTATTCATTTTTTAAAAAATCTTAATGAATGTCCTTCACAAAAGCAACTTCGATATGATTAAAAGGTTTTCAGCACACACCCAAAGTTCAGTCCTATATTTTTATTCTGAATTCTTTTTAATATGTACCTGACATGGAAGTCAAGAAAAAGGAGGAGGAGAAGGAGAAGGAGAAGGCGAAGGAGAAGGAGAAGGAGAAGGAGAAGGAGAAGGAGAAGGAGAAG